TTAAATTTATAATTATTTGCATAATTAACGCATAAGTACATATTTATAATGTTCATGTTTGCCTACATACATATGTAGGAGGACATTAGGGTGTTCAAGAATTTTTTTGTTGCGAAATTTGACATTGAAAGTTATTCTCTTGAATGACAATTTTAAAATGATATCTTGTTTTTGTTATCTAAATTACCTTACAAATACTTCTCTCCGAAAATCCCAGCCAAACTCTTTAATTTTTAGTTGAAATCATCAAACGAACCAAACTGAGTATCACTGAAGTTAATATTCTTCATAAAATCCAATCCTAAACCGAGTACTTTGGTTACCTAGCGACCTCCGAGAATACTCAGTTTTACTCGGCTATGGCGAATCTCTGCTCGGGCGGACGACCCTCTTTTTCGCGATTATGTACCACCGATGGCTTCAAAATGGAACGCGGAGTTGTAGCAGGCGTGACTCCCTGAATCCCTGTAATTAGGGAGGTCTACTAATTTGCCCGATTTTGCAAGTGTTTGTTAATTTAAAAATAAAATTTCAAACAGATGGCAACCCTACCCAAACTTATTTTTGGCCGCAAACTTTCCTAAGCCTCTTTAGTTTGATACTCATATTGAAATAATTAATTTATCTTATCAATTAAATCAAATTGGAATTTTCAAACAGGTGGCAACCTTCCACAATATAATTTGCGACTCTAAGCCTCCTTAAATGTATTTCTTTAGACAGCCATGTTGGAAAATTTACTTTGTCTTTTCAATTTATTTAAACTGCGATTTTCGAACAGGTGGCAACTCTCTAATTGTTTTTTCTCCTATATTATAATTTAGACCTTTAGCAATGTATCGGTGAAAACTGCATTGGATTCCATCATTAGTTTTCGACTGATGAGCGTGAAAACATACCTACATACATATAGACAGACGGACAGACAGACAAAAATTTCAAAAATTTTTGATTTGGCTTCTGTTGCTCTAATAAAGACCCCCATATTAATTTTTCTTTAATATCTATAATGTTCAGGTCGGTCTGTTACAATTTTGTTATAAACTTATACAACAAAAAATAAAAATAAATTGTGAAAATTTGTTAATAAATATGTGGTGCAGTTATAATTTTTTCGATCACTGTATCTATAAACATATTTGCATGCGTGAAGAATATCTTTGCTATGACAACTTCTCCAACTTCAAAACAATTGACTCATTTGCTTGGCTTTAAACATTCCCCTCCATTGGTTTGCAAAAATTATCTTCTATGAATTTCATCACTCGAATGACATTTCATCGCTACGTGTCTCCTCCGCCAAGTGGAATGGCTTGCAGAAGAAAGTTGTTTGCACTTTGAATACGTGCGAGTGCAGCCAACTGTGTTTAATGAATTGTATTGTAAATTTCTTGCACTGTTTGTCCGGCGAGCGACAGTCATAAAGAATTTATGACATATCACATAGCATCGGTCGCAATCATGTGATTTTAATATAACATTTTTAAATACAAGTTAAATATATATACAAGAAAATGAAGGCAAAATTAAGAAATCAAAAGCGAGAATGGCTCCAAAATAATATAAAAATGTCCAGCCTCGATTGACAAGTTGATATTTGTCTGCAAACATTTATGCTTTTAATTTTTTAAATTTGTTTATAAAATTTATATTTTTAAATATTTAAATTTTGTTTAATGCCATATTTCAACTTATGCGGGTCGAGTAAATATTTACGTAAGTAAATCCCTTATTTTCAAAGAACAGATTAAAATTAAAGTAAATTTCTTTCAAGAGAGTTTGCAGCTGCTTAGATTTATTAATTTTTTTATGCACAACAAATTTCAATTTACTTGCATACATAAGTAAGTATACATTTTTTAGTGCCTAGTTGTATGCGCATTAGGGTGGTCCACAAACAGTAAAGTCGGAATTGTAATGCTCTCACCCCCTAGGATTGTTCTATAATGCAAAAGTATACCCCTATTTTTTAATTTTGAATACAAAAAATTTTTAGCGACCTCTAAAAAATATTGATTTTCAAGAATTCTATACCATTTCTACGAAAAGTTGGTTTTCCCCCATATAAAAATACATGGAAAACTTTTGGCGCTTTGAGCGACCTCTAAATTTTTTTTGATTTCAAAATAAAAAATTAAGGGTATATTTTTTTCGGTATAGAACAATTCTAGGTGGTGCGAGCATAAAAATTCCGACTTTTTCACGTGTATTTTTGGACCACCCTAATGCGCATACATACAAATGTACTTATATATCAGTGCAATAGAATATGCTTGTCTCATCGTTGTTCAAATATTGGTTTGGGAGATTTTGAAATGTTTATAAGGAAATATTTACAGATAAGATTAAATGAGATTTCGGTGAAAAGCTAAATTAAATAGATAAATTTTGAGAAAAAAAGAAATATAAACAACAAAGTGCTATATATACTGCAAGGTGAAAAAACAAAATTTTGAAAAATAATAAATTGTTTTTTGTTTTGCGATAACAAAAATTTGTCATTAAAAGAATATGGTGAAAAAATATAGATGCATAACTTTTTTGCCTCTTATGGGCTTAAAATGCTTAATGTATAATTAAATTAGTCTTGCTACTAGTGATATTTTTGTAAACTAAAACCCGTGCCATATTTCCAATTATTGAGTGTCCACTCGAGTACCTGCCTTCAGCTCCTGGTAACACTAATAACAAGGTTCCCACAACGGGTGCTACTATAGGGTACATTTTAAGCCTCTAACGCTTCAATAGGCGGGCCATTTTAAGAAAAGGGCAAACACATACACGAAACAGGCATATAAAGGGTTAAAATGTTTTACAAAAACATTTGCCATTAAATTCTCCTATAAGTCTCTGAACACACCAAAGCTCAAAATTCATATTCCCTGTCACATACAGCTTTTTAGCAGAAGAACTTGTCTTCCGGGTACAAATTTGAGCTTTTCGACGGCCTAAAAATACTGTGTCGCATTGCAAGCTATTTAAACTGGAATACATTTTATTCGTTGCAGTGAAACTCTAATTTGACCCACCAGTTTGGGCCAAATTTCGTCCTCTGCTACCGCCATATGGGTAACGAGTGTTTCTTTAACTTGTTGTTGCTCTTGTAGCGACTACAACAACCCCAGATTGGTTAGACCCTCAATCGTTGTCGTCAAACTCAACTAACGGGAGACCCAAGAAGCGTGCAGCTTTTAAGGGTCTGCCCATAAGGACAGAGGCGTTAGTTGAGTGGGGTTTTGTGGGCATGCGAAGAGATGTCTTGAGTCGCGCTCAAGTAGGAGCTTAACCTTCTGCAGTAGCCAGAGCGAAATTGGGCTATTGTGTTCCGAGCCTCCCGCGCCAGACGAAGCTCTGTCTCGTCCACGTCGGGTTGTCTGCCCAAAACGGCATTCACAGATCGAGAGTCTATATAACTCGAGATTGACTCCCTGTAAATGCCGTTTAAGGCCTGTAGATTGCTTTATGAACCTCTGGACTTCGTCCGTCAGTTCGTATAGATGCTTTTTGCCATGCCATGGCGAGGGTTCTTCGGCAAGCAAATGTCTGTTCGGGTGCCCACGTCGGTGACACCCTACCAAGAATTGCTTGCAGAGCATTGTGTTATGCTCCTTGATTGGAAACATATGGGCCTCGTCTAGCAAGTGATGTTGCGCCGACATCAGAAGGCAACCGGTCGCTGGCCGGAGTGCCGTGTTTTGGCAAGTCATCTACTGCGTCCTGCTAGTCCCCGGCACCACACAAGCGCTGTATAGTTCAATATGTTGCCAACAACGTGTCTTTATCTTTGCCCCAGGTGCTGCCGGCCTGAAAATCTTGTTCCGGCTTTTTACTCTATTGATAACTGCGGTTGTATGTGCCGAGAAGGAGAGCAGACTGTCGAAAATTAGTCCAAGGATTTTCGGGTTATTCACCGTCGACGTGAATATCCAGCTGCAATCTGAACTCCTTCGTCCAGGTGGCGAAAATGGTTGCTGAGGAGAAGCGAGAAAGCTCGGAGAGGTAGCCCTTTACTTTCGAGCACAAGTCTTCAATTCCATTCCCAGGCGCCATTACCAAGCAGACAATCGGAACTCCCTATGGTGGTTGAGGGAGCTTGGAAATATGGAATTGTTTGATTCCTGGGTTTGCCCGATTTGTCTATAAAAATTACTGACGAGTGTCGGCCACTCAGATAATAATTGCTTAAGTAGTTTTAAGTTTAAGAAAATTCAAATATGTATTCTTTTATTTCCTATTTACGCGCCAGTTGTTTTGCTTTTGTTGATATTTAGATAAATTAACATGTAATTTGTGTGTTTATTGGTACATATTTACATTTCTAATCTTTTACTCAAACAGTAGCAAGTTTATTTAAAGCAAAGTGCTGCACTATATTTCCCCAGCACGTGAAAACTAATCAAAAAAAATAGTAATATGTATAAAAAGAACATTCAACAATTCTTGGAAAGGACTTTCACTTTCTCATTGTTTATTCGTAGTAAAAGAGGAAAATATTTAACTTAGTAATAACGCAATTGCGGTCTAATAAATAAATCGCGGTAAATATTTTCTCGGAATTTAAAATAAAAATAAATATTTTGGTACCCAACTCAATGCAGATGAAAAACAAAAACGGTTGATGACAGTTATGCGCTCTACAAAAAAAATTATGGATTTTAAAAAGGCTAAAAAATTATTTTATATAAATTTATTTTAGTCAGAGAGGGAATTGATCATGTGATAAATGGTTTGTACTGTATATGTATGTAAATGATTCGTATGTCTGAGCCATAAAATAACTTTTTATTACTAGCTACGTAATATAAATTTTATATACATATGTATCTCCGCACTATTTATTCTATTGTACGTATGTATGTATGTATATCTGCATTGATTTTAACTATTTTTTATGGAGACACAACCACGCTGCTGTTTTCCGCATAACAAAAAACAAAAAAAAAAACGAATTCTTACTGTGGTTTGTGCTACTGACACTTGGCATTATTTTAACCCAACAGTAACTCTCTGCAATTCCGCAGTTCCAGACCGGGTCGACCGCCGAAACGTGGCCCCGTCGGTTTGTCGCTGCCGCCCACACACTTGTCGCAACATCCGCAATTGAAGAAGCATCGATTGGATAATGGTGACTACGCTTACGAGAATGGGCATATTGGTGGTGAGTAAACAAATTTGTATACTATTTCCAGCTCTATTTTGTGTCAGTGACAAATTTTTGTTAAATTTTTGTTACGGAAAAATATATGAAAAAGTTTTCATTTTTCAGCTACAAATGTTTTGTCACCAATACAGAATTGAGCTGTTAATGTACATAAATATAAATAAAAAATAAGTCGAAAATTGTTTTTCTAAACTTTGCTTTAATTATTTATCTCAAAAACATTTTTTGTTTTCAAACTTTTTCTTAAGTTTCTTCTTTTTTTAATTTGTATCGTTAAAAAAAAATCTAACACAGAATTAAAAGGAACAATTGTGCGAAATTTTTGGTCTACATTTTTTTCTTTAAGCTTACATTTTATTTTCTGAATTTATTTGTAAAAAGTTTGTTTCTTTTCCTATCATAACTTTCCTAGATAGAAAAATGTTAAAACTAGTTTCCAAATAAAACAATTTCCCTTAAATTTTGCTGTTATAATTGTTCTTAATAAAATTGATTCCTTAAAATGTCTTTCTTTTAAATTATATTCTTGATTTTTTAAGTTTTTTATTAAAACTTTTTCTAAACAGTTTTCGTCAAAATTGTCCTGTTTTTGTCACACTTAAAATTTTTTATTTTAACTTTTTTCTCAAAAATTTTATTCAACGTTGTAATTTTTTTACAAATTAATTTCTTCGAAAAAATTTTTCTAAATTTATTTTTATTTAAAATTTTTCCAACAATTTTTATTTTATAATGGGGGTTTAAAATATTTTCCGCTTTTTTAACAATTATTTATTTTTTTTTAATTTTGCCCAATTTTTTTACACTTTTTTCTTACATAATTTTTTCTTTAAAGTTTTCCTTTTTTAAGATGGTTTTAATAGAAATTTTTAATATTTTAAAGTTGTTTCATAACTTTTTTTTCTTGTTTTTTGCTCTTAAGTTTTTTATACATTTTTCCCAAAAGCTTTTTTTATAAATATTTATTTCTTAACATCATCCTTTTTCTTATAATATTTTCTTCTCACAGTTTCCTAAATTAAAACTGCCTTCCACTTAAATTTGTATAGACATCTACTTAAAATTTTTAGTCTCTTAAACAAATTTTTTTTTAAATATTCTTTCTTTAAAACTTTTAAATTAATTATTTTCTACGTTTTTTAGTTATTTTTGTTATTATTCGTTGCTCCTTTGATTTGAGTTAGATTTTGTCTATAACTTTCCTAATTAAAAATTGTACCTTCTCATTTTGAAAACATTTATTTTTTATTTTTAAAACTTTATTTCAGAAAAATTGTCCATTCTCAAAAGATCATGTTTCTTAAAAAAGTTTTTTGAAAATTTATTTTATTTTTCAATTTTTGAACATAGAAAATTGGAATCATGATATTCTATCAACTTATAACTTCATATAAACAGGGCTAAAAATGTTTTATTCAGCTTTAAATTCTCCAAGCTTAGAGTCTAAGCGAGCTTTCACTCTAATGTCTCTTTCGATAAATAAATCAAATCTCTAAATTTCGCTGTAAAAAGTTGCGATTTTCACATTTCCGCGCATTTCTCATACATTTCCTCTCAAGCAAAATTTCCCATTCGAAATGCGAGAAGGCCAAATCGAAAACTCAACTCACAAATCAATCAAAACTCATCGCCAGCAGCCGTTGAATTCGCACAGAAAACAAGTAGGCTACAATGCCATAAATACTAGTTTTCATTTGTTTGTGAGGCACCTTCGGCAAGACATCATCAATGGCAAAACTGATAATAGCAGCAACAAAAAAAAAAAATAAACTGCCAACAAAGCCAAACCACAATTGCAAACAATAAACAACAATAAGTAATTGCAGCGACGAATGCAGCAAAACTGTTAATAATCCGCGCGCATTCAAAAAAGAATGAAACACAAAAGAAATTCAAACAAAAAATTCATAAACCCCAAAACTGTGGAATAGTACCTGAGAATGCAAAGAAAAGTATCAGTTCCAGGTTTTAGCTGAAAAATCACTGTAATTCCACAGAAACATAATTCATGGCTCGCTGGCTGACTGGACTTGGCTGAGAGCTGGTTGGTTCGGTTGTTTAGTTGGCTATGTACGATGTCGTTCCCGTTTGCCTGTCGGCTAGCCGATTGTTGTTTGATTGTCCGTTTGTGTTTGGCTGCCATTATTATTATGGCGGCATACCACGAATATGTTTGCGGTATGTGGTAGATATTTATTATTTCTGCTATGCATTTAGGTATTCATCTACTTATCTGTCTGCTCTGATAGCAGGCAGTGTTGCACAATTGCACATCCGAAATGGCATGGAAAGAAATGTAGTACTGCCATGAAATGAAATCATTTTAAGCCTCGCAGGAGTGATCGTGCAATGGGAATTGTGCGGATTATTTATTTGCAGATTTCTGGGATGTTTTGCGGTATGTATTGATTTTGATTGAGCTACGGCACAGTGGTTTTGAACTGCTATGGAAATATATACATACATAACTAGTTGGAAGAAACTTTCATTCCAGAATTTCTGTTATAGATGACTTTAACTTATCAGTCACCACTGCGGTTTGAGCTCCACCGGAGAAATGCGCGCCTGCTGTTCAAACTGGAAAATCGTGCGGTTATTCCACCTAGTCATTCTCCAAAGAGCACTTGCCATAATATTTAAAGCAGTGTGGATCAAGTGTGATATTTCAATTTTACCACATGAAATCCAATCGCACTGTGTTCTACTGAAAAGCTCAAGTAACTCGGTTTACCTACTTGGATCATTGTGGGCCAGAAAGACTTTGAGATTGCATTTACTGTAGCTTTCGCGCAGTGTGCGCTGAGGTAACATAGGTAATCCTACTCTCTCCTTGATCTCTGCGTCTACTAATAGCGATCTCTGCCTAACAAATTCATTTGCCAAGGTATAGGTAACCACTGATCTCCTTCCCCGACGATTTCCACTTCTTTCTCGACCAATAAGCTCTCTTAATAGGATGAAAAACTTTCGAGATAAAACACCTCATTTGAAATTTCCGTCCCTTAGAAAGTTCTTTCTTTGGTGAAATCATATAGTCCTCAGAAATTTTACAAGGGCGTTTTGGAGCCATAGAGCTTATGGGGGCCTTTGGCTGAGGTGCAAAAGCGAATACATATGTCGATCATTCGTCTAAATTCCTGTAACAATGTCAGATGGCTTCTCAGCCCGAAGGCTCCTGCATTTATCTCTACACGCCGACTAATGACGTAGACCTCCGCCTGGAAGATTCTGGAGAATTCCACATAGGCTCTAAAAACCTTATACTGGAGCCCGTGATACCTGCCTCAATGCCTTCTGAATTTTCAAGGGGACTAGATGTGCTCCAGGCAACTTTGCTGCAAAAGACTCTATTGAAAATTTCTTCTCAAAAAAACAGCAACCATGTACATATCAATTTTCCATGTCTCTTGATAATAAGACCTTTCCTTTGCCAAATACATATGTACTTCTCTGGCTAATTTTAAGAGAGTAGGCTTAGCTGTCTTCTCAAGGGTGAAGTATAGCGGCTTAAGCTCGAGAATATCTATAGTGCTATTATTGGAAATGTGCGCGTTGCTACTGTAATAAATAAAAAGGATATACGCTTAAGTTTGGTAAGACATGGTTTCACTGTGGTTAGGGTAATTCTAAAAGCGATTAATGCCTAGCCCTGGAGCTCTGGATATGGTCGCTTCCACATATATCGGCCATAGAAGTTTAGATATCCAGATTAGATCAAGAAACTTCCTCAGGGACGGCTCTGGCCACGATTCCAACCAATGCTGTATTCTTCATACCTGGAAACGGTACTTTTTAACAAAGAGAACGATTTCCTTTTTGGGCCGTTAAGACCGACTTTGGCGCACCGGCCTTTCCGTAAGTCGAATCCTCTTTGTATTATATCGCAGAGGATACTGTCAAACCTTCCTCTACTTGTATCAGCCGAAGCTATTGTCAGATAAAATTTATAGAAGTTCGTCCAGCACTAGGCTCCACAAGTAAGGTGGTAGTACACCTGTTGTGGGCATTTCTTTTTGTTTTTTTATGTACACGTTGTCCTTGATGCCAGTTTAAGTGTTATCAGTGACGGACTCGAAACCCCTGAGCATTAGAGTGACGAAGTTTTGTATCCTTCATCTCTTATAAACAGGACCTTGGCAACCATAAAGTATTTCTGATGCCTTTGTTCATCATTTCCTCAGGTGGGGTTTCCTTGAAAACTTTCCCTTAAAATGGCTTTTTCTTTGGCGCCACATTTTGATCTATATAAAATATATATTGAAATAATAAAATACTGTATGAAAATTCGTATGCCTGCTTTCTTACGGCAAAGTGCCTGAATAATCTTTAGCTACTGCCCACTGTGCGCAAGCCTGAACAGCAATTTGGTCAGACTTTATGACGATTACGATTGGGTTGCAAAGGTATACGCATTTGATTTGCGATTTTGCTGCCATTGCCAAAGCAAATCATCATAAAACTTGCTCAATGAGAACTATGTAAGTGCATTGAATAAATGTATGGCTGACTGGTCGATTGGTCGATTGAATGACTGACTGACTGACTGACTGCTTGGTCTGACCGCAGCACCAGCAGCAAAGGAAATCTTAAAAGATAAACGGCGCAGTTTTTTTTTAACAAATTGTACAGAGAAATCGGCTTAAATTTATTGTTGCAGCCGCAGTGACCGGAAAACAAGATGGGTGCGTGATGTGCACGATGGCATTCGAGAAGAAATGGAGCTAAAAGCAGAACTTTAATACTTATGCAGCCGCAATAATTTGTATTGCAGTTTGAATATCACAAAATCGATTTTGCTAAATGTAATCCATAGGCATAGTTTGGCGGGGTTTCGGAGGGGATGTTCGCTATTTTGGGAAAAGACATGTGAGCATATCATGGGTGAAAGTAGTTGCAGAACTGCCTAAATAATTTTCAAGAAGCAGCTGCGTTCGGTTGTGATATGGGTTTTAGTTACTTTCTGATTTGATGAAAGTCACGGTGGCAGGTTAGATGAA